ACATTTACATGTAGACTACCAATACATTCACTGTTTTTTCAGAACTTCAAATCCTATTGTATCATCTGTCAAAAAAATATGACTAAACTCACCGTTCTTGCGATCTTCATGGTCTTATTTCTAGGTTTGTTTTACATTAACCATTCTCTAAGTAAATTATATAGAACTATTATCCCAATAATAAACTAAATCCTTATGTTATAGTTTGGATTTCATGTTTTTTAATACATTTTTTTTTCTTTTTTTTCTAGGGATGGTTGGGAAAGAGACACAAGGACAACATATATGTCATCAAATTCTTACAAATGATAAATGTGAAGGACCTATGTGTACGGATATGTGTGACAAAATGTTGGGAGGAACTGGCCAATGTGTCAAGACATATGACAAACGCTTTATCTGCCTCTGCAATTATATTTGCAAATCTTGATTTTCTATTTTCTTCTTATAGTATCTAATTTTAAAATATTATTATCAACAATAATAAAACGTTTCTTACAATAATTTCTAATGTTTACATGGAATGTGAAAATCGCATTCGAACTGACATTTTAAATGAATTAGCCAAAAAAAAAAAAAAATATTATACGTACTAGACAAATCAGTATTACATCGATTTTTATTTTTTGGTCGAAATATTACATCGATTTAACAAAAAAATGTTTTTACTATATAAATAAATATTTTAATTTGATATCAGCCAAAGTCAAAACATACCACCTGAAATGATGCACAGATTGAATAACAGAAACAGCCTTCTTCCTTTGAAACCGTTTGGTAATTATTACATTCACAGCTATGCTTCTCGAACGAAGTTTGATTCGAATCTGGTTATGCGAGATTTGTCTAAATCCGGTCAGGTCGATGAAGCACGCCAGTTGTTCGATAAAATGCCTGAGAGGGATGAGTTTACATGGAACACTATGATCGCTGCTTACTCAAATTCAGGAAGATTTGCTGATGCAAAAGAGCTTTTTTTTAGAAACCCAGTGAAGAAAACAATCTCCTGGAATGCTCTTATCTCTGGGTATTGTAAGTATGGAAGTAAAGATGAAGCTTTTAGTTTGTTTTGGGAAATGCAGTTTCATGGAAGTAAACCTAACGAGTACAGTTTCGGGAGTCTTCTTATGATGTGTGCTTCGCTTGCTTTACTTCTAAGAGGTGAACAGATTCATGGATATACAATAAAGACTTGGTTTGATTTGGATGTTTATGTTGTCAATGGTCTTCTCGAAATGTATGCTAAGTGCAAACGCATCTCTGAGGCTGAATACCTTTTTAGGACAATGTCAGGTGAGAAAAATAACGTTACTTGGACTTCGATGCTCACTGGATACTCTAAAAATGGATTTGCTTACAAGGCAATAGAGTGTTTTAGGGATATGAGAAGAGAAGGAAATCAATCGAATCATTTTACCTTTCCTAGCGTTTTAACTGCTTGTGGTGCGGTTTCTGCTCGCAGGGTAGGAGTTCAGGTACATGGCTGCATAGTTAAGAGTGGTTTCAAGGACAATATCTTTGTTCAAAGCTCATTGATTGCTATGTATGCTAAATGCAGAGACATGGAAACCGCAAGAGGTTTGTTAAAAGGTATGGATGATGAGGTTTCTTTAAACTCGATGATTGTTGAGTGTGTTAGACAAGGTCTTGAAGATGAAGCTCTGTCTATATTCGGAAGAATGCATGAGCGAGGTTTGGAAATAGATGAGTTCACAATTCCTTCCATTTTAAATTGTTTTGCTTTGTCTAGAACGGAAATGAAGATAGCTTCTTCTGTGCATTGTCTGATTGTGAAAACTGGATACGGAACTTATAAACTTGTGAATAACGCTCTTGTGGATATGTATGCTAAAAGAGGTATCATGGACTCGGCGTTGAAAGTGTTTGAAGGGATGATTGACAAAGATGTGATATCTTGGACAGCTCTTGTCACGGGAAATACACATAACGGATCTTATGAAGAAGCATTGAAGTTGTTCTGTGCCATGAGAGCTGGAGGCATTTCTCCTGATCAGTTTGTTACAGCGAGTGTATTAAGCGCCTCAGCGGAGTTAACTCTTCTGGAGTTTGGGCAACAGGTACATGGGAATTACATTAAAACTGGCTTCCCATCATCGTTGTCAGTAGATAACTCTCTTGTGACAATGTACACAAAGTGCGGAAGCTTAGAAGATGCGAATGTAGTATTCAACTCTATGGAAAACAGGGATTTGATAACATGGACTGCTCTCATTGTGGGTTATGCAAAAAATGGCAAAGCCAAGGACTCGCTACGATCATACAGTCTGATGATAGGCAGTGGCGTAAAACCAGATTACATTACCTTTATCGGGTTACTATTTGCTTGCAGTCATGCCGGCCTCATAGAAGAAGCTCAACACTACTTTGATTCGATGAGAACAGTTTATGGAATCACACCAGGACCTGAACACTATGCCTGTATGATTGATCTCTTTGGTAGATCTGGTGATTTTGTCAAAGTAGAGGAATTGCTGAATCAAATGGAGGTTGAACCAGATGCAACTGTATGGAAAGCGATACTGGCTGCAAGTAGGAAGCATGGGACCATAGAAAATGGGGAAAAAGCAGCGAAAACTCTCATGGAATTGGAACCAAACAATGCTGTTCCTTATGTTCTGTTATCGAACATGTATTCTGCAGCAGGAAGACAAGAGGAAGCTGCAAATGTTCGTAGATTGATGAAATCTCGTAATATAAGCAAAGAGCCTGGTTGCAGTTGGGTTGAAGGGAAAGGTAAAGTTCATAGCTTTATGTCTGAAGATAGAAGACATCCGAGAATGATTGAGATATATTCCAAGGTTGATGAAATGATGCTTTTGATCAAGGAAGCTGGTTATTTACCGGATATGAGTTTTGCCCTCCAAGACTTGGATAAGGAAGGCAAAGAGCTTGGTTTGGCTTACCATAGTGAGAAACTAGCTGTAGCATTTGGTTTACTTGCTATACCATCTGGAGCTCCAATCCGGATTATCAAGAACCTTCGTGTTTGTGGGGATTGCCACAATGCGATGAAGTACATATCGAGAGTGTATTTTCGGCATATCATCTTGAGAGATTCAAACTGCTTTCATCACTTCAGAGATGGAAACTGTTCTTGTGGAGACTATTGGTAACATTTTTGCGTAAGAAAAATAAACTCGGAAAATTCTGCATTTCTGTCTGCAACAATGGAAGCTACAAAGTTACAAACTTACAATTATACACTTTCAAACTGCTAGTCCGTGTGGTTGCAGTGAGGGGTTCATAACCAGAACAATGCTATACGTGTGAACAAGAAATCTCTCGTAATCAAAAAG